GGCGGCGTTGTCTCCCAGCCCTGATTGTCAGCTCTCCTGCTCCACAGTGCTCCAAGCTCCCGTCTCTTGTAACAGCCACGCAGTCTGTTTAGGGAGCGGAGGGAGGAAGAGGGGAGAATGGGACTCCGCAGCCATCGCGTGTCAGGCAGACAAAGCAGAGCATGGCCGCCTTCAGCGCACTGGTGAAAAGGCTGGCTGGGGGAGGGTTCCCGTGTTCAGCAAGGGCAGATGCTGGTGATAATAGTAGAGAATATCTATCCTTCACCTCCAAATAAGCCCCGTGCTTTCTTTTTCCAGGGTATTTATGTGACAGTCCTTCCTAGTGCTCTGGAGACCATCCTTGGGGAGGGGGGCGAGGCCGAGGGGGCTCTCACACACGAGCAGTGTGTGCAGAGCAGAGAAGTGGGACTGATCAGGGGCTGGAGGGGAGACTGAAATGCTGCCAGTCTCTCTGTCCTGCAGGGCAAAGTTTGAGCAGTCAGCGGACAATGGACCTTTGTAAGAAAAGCGAGAACATCCCCAGGAGCCGTTGCAGCAAGAGGCAACCAGCACAAGGAGGGAGCTTTGTCTGGGCCCTCAAAGCCATAGCTGCCCGTGTGAGGAAGATCTAGAACCCACAACCATCTACATGGTATGTCTCAAGGCTACCAGGGTCTGGTGCTGCCTTAACGAAGGACCAGCACAACATTTGGGAGCGAACATTGGCAGCACAATGTCTTGGTCTAATTTCTTCCTCTGCCTCCCCACAGGTACCTTCCAAGAGCTTCCTCCCTGGGGCTGTCTGGTCTGCAGCTCTCCTTCCTCCACCCATCACCAGACTGAGAGAGGTCTGTGGAAGAACACAAAACCCAAAGCATTTGAATCTTTCAACTGATGGTCTTGGGTCACTTCCAGATCCACTTCCTCCTGCTCGAGGGAGAGGACTTTGCCCCCAGCTATTGATTAGGTTTGCCCCGAGCGCACTCAGCTGATGCACAGTCCAAAGGTTGCTGCCAGAGTCCTCTCCTGCCAGCTCTGCCAGCTGCAGGCAAAGACAGAGCAACACTGTGATGTTTAACAGCAAAGTGAAGCAAACAAGTTCCAAGGCTTCAGGTTTGTCATGGACTTTAATGTAATGTCCTAATCCTTATCGCAAGTCAGATCAGAATAAAGTACTGGCAAGTCCTGGAGTTAAAGGACACGTGACAACCTCCTCTCTATCCCTTTTGGCCCCAATTCAAGAGATTAGCTACAAAATTGTCAAAGTAAAAGTAGATTTTATTAAAAGCAATTTTTATTAAAAGTAAGTTTTATTAAAAGTGAGGTTCTTTCCGCTTTTGTCTGGGTTTATGATTCACTTCTCCCTTCTAAGCTTTTCTCTGCAGCCAGCAGAGCATAAAACACACTTCAACAGAAAAAACAGGAAAAATTATTCTCACGTTACCACCTGATTCCAAGGGCGGAGGCTTTACCAAAAAAAGAACGATTGCCACGGGTGTATGAGCTGCTAACACCGCATTAAGATAAAGGGAGAGGAACTAGCATATTCCTAGAACCATACGGGATCGTCAACAGGGACTTTAGCCAAAACCTCAGCAATAGGAAACTGTCTGCAGTGTGATGCCAGCGCCACGTCGCCCTGCTCCGTCCCATCCCCTTGTGCAGCTCCTACTGCCTTGGGGAGACACCGGTGACGAGAAACAGAGTCTGGCCCATTGTGTACTATAGAAGCTTCATTTGCAGGGAGGGAAAACTTCACAGAATCACAGAATGTTCGGGGTTGGAAGGGACCTCTGTGGGTCATCTAGTCCAACCCCCCTCGCCCCAGTGAAGGGGGACCACCGAGGGTCTGTCCTTTTGCTCAGAGCAGGGCCGGTCCTCTTCCAGCTCCTGTCCCCTGGGCTGGATCCTCTCCCTCCGGAGCAGCTCGGCTCCCTGTTGCCACC